TCCATAAAATTTTTAAATTTAAGCTCCAAATTAGTCCTTCTCTTTTGTAATAATTAACATGTTTTATTATTAACATGATATATAATCATCAAGTAATGGTTTTTACCATTAAATAATAGATATATTAATTATTTAAAAAAATTTAAAATTAAATCTAAAAATTTTTAAGATTAAATCAAAAAAATTTTCAATTTAAAGACCAACTCAAACATTTATATAATAGTTTGAGAACCACATTGGAAGTTTAATGAGTAAACTGTAGAGTCGGAGAGGGAGGTGGTGGCCACAGACGAAGCCGAGTTGTCTACATCAGATGTTGGCATGTTGATTAGCTTTTCCTCCAAAAGTAGGCTAATGTGTGGAATTTGGCAAGGTTTTTAAAATCGGACCGGACCGTCTGATTGAACCGGTTGGACCGGTACCCGATAATAAAAATAGTTTGGTTTACACAAAAAAACCATTTGAGGTCAGAATCGGTCAAAAACCAGTCAAACCAGTGGAACCAGTAGAATCGAAAAAACCACCGATTCAATTTCTCATGCAATTTTCTTTTTATTTTTTACAATTTCACCCTCACCATTCCTTTTTTATATCGATTTTAACCCTTAATTTTAATAAAATTACAAAATTACCTGCCCCTCTCATCAAATTTTCCTTATGGTTTGGATCGGCTAGTTCATCGGTTCAATTGGTTAACCAATCAAATCAAAAACCAGACCTAAAAATGGTTCAATGACCGATTCGATTTTAAAAACCTTGGAATTTGGTACTCGGTCGTAACTGGTCCAATTGGTATGCCTCATCAATGCTTGAATTATCTAGGTGTGGTTTAGGGTTATGGTAGTAGACAGGGACGGTGCTAGGAAATTTAGATCCCATTTGGTATAGCAGTTTTGAGGTAACGATTAACGCTTTTACTTAAATCGTTAAATATAGGTGTTTAGTAAATTTATATATATTGAAACCGCTATAAATAAAGTGTTTGGTAAAATTTTTATTTAGCGGTTAGAAACTAGCGGATAGCGGTTAGAAACTAGCGGATAGCGGTTAGAAACTAGCGGATAGCGGTTAGAGTCCAAACAGCTAACAAATTGAAAAAGTTAATTTATGTAGTTTTTTGTACCAAACTGTTAACAGATTAAAATTTTTTAATTTTATTTACAAA